CGCGGCGGCGGCGGCGGGGGCGGAGGAGAACGCAGATAGGCAGGAGGGGAGGAAGAGATAGCGAAGGCAGAGTTGAGTGAGGGCGTGTGGGGTGGGGGCACGGAGCGGAAAGAGAGACCAAGCGAACGCGGGGCCGAACGGACGGGGGAGGAAGGAAAGCAGGGCGCTCCAGCATACGGGGGTGGCGAGAGAGCGAGGAAAGCAATGCTGTCAGTAGATTTTGAGTCATTGAAGAAAGGTGGCGCTTTGTTTGGAAGTGCGATGTTCGGTATACGGCTTGCGAGGCATATTTACGATTTCGTAACAATATTCCATAAAGCAAAACAATTGAGGATTACTAGTCGTAAAGCAAGTTCTTCGCTTATTGTAATTACTGAACATATTTCTAAGAGGAATAAATAAAAATTTAGAAATCCTCCATTGCCTAAATCGATGCGTCTTACTTGCTGCATTGAAGTGGTGTTACGTTTTTTACCTTATGTTGGATGCGCACATTCCATTCAAGCTTATTGCATATTAATGACATTGTTCGGCTTACCTGGATCATGTGTGACGTGTTCCCTTTTAAAATAGCCGTGAGCACAGACATTGGTCGAATATCAGCTTCACTCCGAGTAGTGATGTTACATCTTCCAATGCAGGGAAGAAAAAACAAACAGTTGCGTTTAATTATAATTATCTCTATTAAGGAAATGTGTGTTGAATTTCAGAAACTTCGTCTTTGATAAATTACAAACAAATAAACCAAATTATCTAATTTAGGGATCGAGAAGATGAAAAGCTTGGGACAGTTTCAAGACAGAGCAGCTACTGCAAGAATCCCGCAGGTCATAAATGTTAATATCAGATTTGGTTTAAGTGTCTCATTTTGTTTCTCCCCCGAGCCCTTCGTAAATGTGAACACAAGTAGTAACAAGATAAGCCAAACTCTCACCAAAATGGATATTTAAACATTTACGAATAGCGGGAGGTCTCTTGTGCCTTGTCACTACACCAGGTTCTTCATAAGTTGAATTCATGATTGGTGACAAAATTTAAACAATTCATTGGTGACAATGTTTAATCATCGTGAATAAAAAAATATTCAGAAAATGAAGTTTTCAATAATATAGGCCAAGAAAATAATATTATTTTTCTGCGACAGAGATGATCACGTCTCTAAACCTAATCTTGGTGTGCTGAAATGAAATCTGCTTCCCAATTTTGCACCACATATACTTATTTGCCTTTTGAAACAAATCCGTGGTTCAGTAATTTCTAAGAGAAATCATACTTCACAATGCATAAAACGTTGTAAAATATGACAAACTATACAACTAGTGCTGATGCTTTAGTTCAAAATGAATAGTGAAATATAATTACCGTAGATAATTTATTTTCTCTTCCAATCAACATTTCCTAAGCGTCTTTGCTTCCCAAATAGACAGCGCTCGATTGCATCCCGTTCGATTTTCCTTAGAAGAAAGAGCTCGTCTACGTATCAATGCTTGTTAGATCACTTTCGCTTTCTGACTTGTAGTACATAAAAGAGAAAAAGAACAAATACTCCTTTTAACGTAGTTCATTTTGTATAACTCTAGTAGTAAGGTAGAGTACATAAAACTTGATATTTCGGATTTAAAGTGTACTGAAATTCTCAATTTATTAAAACTAACTTTTACTGATATCGAGAGCTGCTTAAAGAGGGAGGGATGAGGGGGGAGCATGATCTCCAATTAAGTTACGCAGAATATAATTTTATTTTAGTTCGATAATCTACATAGATCCGACGTTTCTGTCACGTTCAGCTGTGTGCGAGGTTCTCTCGCATGGTGCGAGAACAGTTTTTGCGATACTCATAAATGGAAACTTGACTAAACTGTATCCTCCTTCCGCCCCCAAAAAACGCCTAAATTGTTAAAATATTCTAGATACCAACTTTTAATCATTGGAATAGTATTTCTTTTCTACTTCTTAATCACTCAACATCTGCATATTAACTAAGCTATTCGGATTTTTCACACTGCCTCTTCTTGAAATAATATTCATACTCAACATTTTTTATCAAAGAAAAATTAGAACTACACGATTGATGTTTACGGGACCACTGACACGAGAAAACGAAGCCATTGGATCGGTCTTTCCTGCCACGTACTGACTCAATGAGATCGTCAGAGCAGAGCTGCAGCGTAGGATTGTTTATAAACATCGGGCGATAAGGGACTGCGTCCTTATTGAAGGTCGTGGAGTCGTGTTATGAATAGTAAGCTACGTAGTGGCGTTTAAGTACAGCCAAAGAAGATCTTACAGGACTCAATTCAAACTGTTTCAACACAAGGTAGCAAAATTGTTTGTGTAAAATGCATATTAGGCAAACTTTGTAAGTGACAGCAAAACAAAGTGTTATTTTCTAAATAATGTTCGACATTACACAAAAACGTTAAATATTTTGAGCCGATAAATTTCGCAGTCCTGTGCATTATATCAATTTATGAGACAGTCTTATTATGATATTTCTGCCACTAAAATATATTAATAACGAAGAATGTCCAAAGGTCGCTCATTGATTCCAAATTAATTCAGTATGTAGTGTGACCCGGCGGACCGAAGACTCAGCTGTTAAAAATGTAAAACACATATTTTAGCCAACATTTCGTCTATTCATGCTAAATCTCATCAGAGCTGTAACAATTTTTACTATAAATCGTTAATTCAATGAAGTTAGTAACGTCTTCATTCCCAATTTTATGCATCAATGTAAATGCTACTCCATCACGTTGTCAAAGAATGAATTCAAAAATTGAATTTTGTTCCTACGTTTAACGGTATGTCAAAACACGGAATCCTATTTTGAACACTCTGGCTAAATGTTAAAATTGTCTTTCTGAAAATTTGTGCTTCATAAATATAGTTCACTTAGAAAATTAACTCTTCAATTATGAATCCAAGAAAACAATTTTAAAAATTAAATAAAATAAGGTAAAATTAAAGGAATATTTCTGTTTAAAGTATACAAGTATTAATAGGTATTCAAGGTAGAACATTAAGAAATGCACTGTCCTGAAGAAAATTCAATGGGGATGGCACATACTACATTCGGAAAATCATTAAGGATAATAGAGGGAAGAAATTAAATGAAACATTATAAGTCGTACATACAGTACTTTTAAAGAATATAATTAGCTTACAAAACACTTTCACATTTTCACCAGTTTACAATTAGAAAGAAGATAAACAAAACTAAATGAAATTGCGAAATTATGTTGTACAATACTGAACCGACGTAATACAAGGAACTACATATCAAAATGAATTTCAAATTTTACAATATTTTACCACAATATATTATGAAAAATATAATAAACCCTTGTACCTCGGATAATGGTTTTGAAAACGAAAAAATCTATCTGACAAAACAATTCACTTTGAGTGTTAGATGGTGAAACCACTGTCACTTTCATTTGTAATTCGTTTATCTGCATCCACCGTCATTCAAAAATAAGTTATTCAATTGAATTTATTTTGTGATGTCAAAAATAAAATTTATAACTTTTGCCATGTTCTTGATTTTCAACGGAACGCTAAGCTAAATTTTAAGTGAACACCACATATGCGCATTCTCGAAGTTTTATTTATTTAAAAGAACAAAATCAATAGTACAGTTATTAATTGTCATAGATTTACACCAAAAAGACAGAAATTGTACCTTTGGCCAGTTTTATTATCTTGTTTCTCAGGCACCTATAAATTTAAAAAATTAAGAATAATGAAGATGATTTAGGTTCACAATTTAGGTGCACTGTGATTCATACAGATTATGAAGGTTTGGACAGCAGTGCAACGGATATGCCTGGACAAGGAAATGCAAATCCAAGACTCATCACAGGCAATGAGCATCCGAGCTTGCCCCATTTAGAAGCTACTACTTAGAAGTACAACCTAAATTTTGCTGGCCCCTTATTGATTCCATAAATCTACTTGCAACTACACTATGGTGTAACCGCTGAGAATCATTGCCAAAACTTGATAACGAAAATGCAAAAACGTATCTGGAAGCCAGGGAAGTCTTGATAATTATCAGACACTCAAGAAAAAAAAACAAAATTAATGTCTAAGTATACAGAAAAACAAAATAATGTCCAAGCGTGTGAAACAATACAAAAATACTCCTACTAAATAAGAAAAAATAAGTTAAAATAATCAATTTTTGTATGTAAAACATCTCTTTTGCAGTAAAATGTATATGCTCATTAGTATGCTTACAATTCATGGGTACCTTTGTCCGTAATAAAGTGGGGGCTCGAAGGTACCACGCTAGGTAGCCCAAGGTGAAAGGTAATCGTGCACCCTGAGGTTTTTAACATTTTTTAAGAAATAAGACATAATGTATACAATTCTTTAAAACTGATATATGAAATGGAAAATTATGAACAATTACCATAATGAAATATCGTTCATTAGAACACAAAAAACTTGCAAATTTTCTACAGCAAATAGGATGACACGCCAATAAAAAAGTGACCCAAGGTACAATGGTCTCCCTACATACATCGTTGCGTAGGCGTCCCTGATAGCCCAGCCAACAATCCCTACATACATGTTTCAAACTTCATTACAATCAAATTCGAAATGTGTGTATAATAGTATATATTTAGTATGGACGTTTCTCATAATTATTCATTTTATCAGTATTTTTACAGTTTTATCAATGGCTGAACTGACAAATATCACAAATCTTAAAAAGATACGACCACAGATTTTCAACTACATAATAATTTAAAATTGGGCTCGGTTTCACATGAGTACAGAAATCACAGAAGTACACGAGTACAGAAATTGCCTTTTCTCAACGAAGAGCAATAGAACTAATAAGTGAGAGAGAATAATTCGTAAAGTAACGACAATTCAAACTTCTATATAATTAATAACTCTCTTAACAGTTACACATTTAGTGCGTTGACGTCGTATACATACGACTTAACAAGATATGAAACTGTCATATTCTCAAGAACAATGCGACGTTCAATGTAAAAAACAGATTTCAACCACGCAGTACGAAATTTCATTCCCTGTGTAGAGTCTAGTTCTAGTGTCATTCTCTTACCTTCCCAACCAAAGTTGTTTTCATCCGAAGTGATAACTTAGATCTTTTCAGCGTATATCAACATCACAAAGTGAAGGTAATTATAATTAGATAAATATCCTTGTCATATCTAGCAGGAACTTTTAGAGGTGTTTTACACAACACCATCTATAAATCTACATCTAATGTACATTAAATTATATGTTAAATAAGAAAATGTTATAAACATCTAGAAGGAAGAATTATTTCACAAATTTTTCTTTCGAACACAACAGACGTATAGTGATATCGCAAGTCATTTTTTACACATTAATTTAATACATCAAATATGAAACAACTAAACAATATACTATGAAAAATTAAGAAAGATCTACAATTACTATGAAAGAGGGACCTTCTAATGAACCAAATGAACTTCTTATTCACAACTGATGCAGTTTCTGCACTGCTATCAAGTGCACAATATTTGTACTACTTTTTGCTCACTCTTTCTGTGAACACATGCAGTACAGAAAACAACACGTATGTACATTTTACTCACTATAGAATTAGATTTTACAAAGAAATATTAGATATGTAGAAACTATTACGAATCTGCTCAGATGTCATTTTCTGCAAAAAGTTTGTCTACTTTCAGAAATATTTTAAAACTGTATAACAATTGTTCTATTACATTTTCAAAGAGTATCATTGAGCAGGATTGAATGTAAACATGCATATACTGAAAATGAATCAAATATTGTAATTTTAAATGTCCTAATCTGGACTGAGCATATCCGTGATGGGAGGTCCAACGACGTTGACTGAGCGATGTTTAGACAGCTGCAGCTCGAAGACGGAGACCTCCCCCGCAGAAGCAGCAACAGTTGACCTTAAAAAGCTCTCCAGCTCTCCTGCGAACACGCATGCACACAGTCGGAGCGCCGCTTGCTGCTAGAAAGCCACGGCCGCATATGAACAATACTTTATGATGTGAAACCGTTGACCTGGACGTACGAGGTTTGAAACTGCCCTGAGACCGCCCGAAGATTAATATGCCTGGCAAGAACAAGGTGCACAATTTCATTCTTACTCCCAAAGCACCTCAATGCAATGAATGTATTCGATCAACTAGTCAAATGAGAATTATGACACTTAATTTTGAATATATGTGCGGTTATTAGGGTGTTATTATGCAATGGAAAGATAAAATATGTAAATATGACGCTAAAATAAAATAAGTTTATGTACGCAACAGAAACGTTTCTGCAGATACCACTCATTCGTAGTTTTGGTCATTAATGGTGCTTATCAATTTTCAAAATATTTTTAGAACGAGGGATCATAGGTTCAAATCCCGACAGAGGTGATATTTTGACATCAGAACTAATTAAAAAGCGAAAGAATAATTTTATAAGTATGCTATTCAATACTGCATTTTTAACAAATTCAACAAATCATTTCTGTTCCTTTTAAATATAGCATTGTTACACAACAATTAGGTAACACCGATATTTTCATTAATGCTACCGATTTCTATCAAAGTTATACAAATTTTCAGTGTTTACATTTTAACTTTTTCTTGTATAAATATCTTCTGATATGTTACATTCGTAGAAATATTGTGATATTCATTATATTTTCTGCACACTGCGCAAAAAGCGCTAAAGGGGAAACTATTTTCCAAACTAAATATTTTATTTTGTTTTGGTAGAGGTAAACTTACAATATTTCGAAATAGAATCACGTGTTTTTTTTTTGTTTTTTTTTTGTGTGTGTGTGTGTGTGTGTGTGTGTACGTAGCAATGAAACAGAATGAAAATAAATAACACAGGCAACTTGTAAGGAGTGTTGATACAGCAGTAGTTCTTCACATACCAACAAATTTACAAGATACAGTATCTTTGCTATGTGTTTTTATCAAAAGTAATGAGGTGCTTGTTGTTGAGTGGGTGACCGTTCTGGGAGAGGGCGGGTGGCACCGGCAATTGGCACCGCGTGAGAGGGTAAGAGGCGAGGCGAGGCGAGGCGAGGCTCTTCCTTATCGAGGTTGACAGCCGCGGCCTAAGTGCCCCTTGAGGGAGGTTCCATATGATTCATGTCTTCCAAGCCCACTCAGCGCCAAGAGGCCTTCCGAAGATTAAGACGGCCGTCGTTGCAGCGGCCCGCAATATTAACACCGTGGCAACGCCTCGAAATCCCAGAGCACTGCCCCCGAGACAGGACACCGTAGCTGCCAATCGCTCAGAACCCATCCAGGGCGAGAAAATACCACAAGGTAAACACCATGGATGAAACATTCGAGTCTTCGCGATTTCCATCAATCGAATCCTTCACATTGTTACGAATTTGTCGATCGCTTCCGTTTCCAAACTTACTCTTATATAATCATTAGGGTGTTTTATATTTGAATTTTCATTAATATGACATAGCAACATCTATCATTTATCGTATTTTTCTTCAACTAATTTTTCAAATAAAAATATTAAGGATAATTTAACTGATTGCATCTGATTTAATTGCAGAGATTGTATTTAGAAAATCTGTTGTTCATTCACAGACGATTCGTTTTAATGGGTTGCTTTCTCAAAGTGTAGTCAAAATAATTATTTATTTTCACAACACAATACCACGAGGTACATATCGTCTCACGGGAGGTCGCTGCTCGACCCGAAGGATGGGAAAGGAAGGATTGCGCGTAATTTTAGTGTGCTGCGATTTGAGGGTCGCCGGATGGCGGTTGAAAAGAGTGAGGTGGCGCGGCGGCTGCGGCGGCGGTGGCGGCAAAGCCAAAGGAGGAGGGCGACGGGCGACAGGCCCCCTGGGGCAGGCTGGAAGGCAACGGTCTGAAGGCAACGCGGTGTGGGGCCGCTGGGCCTCTAACAACGGCATGTAAAGGAGATTATGAGATGGGAGCTCCCTAATCCCTCGGCCACAAGCGCCGTTTACGCATAGCAGGACTTCACGTATTCTCTCTTCTCAACCATTCATTATCGGTTTTCAAGGGCTGTTTTGGACTTAGGCACGCTTTGGGAGCGGTATACACTTGTAGGCTATCCGCTCATTAAATTTTAACGTATTGTTAATGACTATTCTTTTAATTTTGTGCTAATGTACTATCCCACAGTATTTAAACGAGTAACGGATTCATAGACTGTTATTGCTAACTGATGATAATTATTTAAATGAAAGAATATATGACTTAGATTTTTAATATAAAATCTATTAAGTATTGCCAAAAATAACCAATCTATCGTAATAAAATACAGTATACACCTAGACGTTAAATTAATTTAACATTAAAAAATTATGGCTTGCATTAAATTGCAACTTTCAATTTAAAGAGGTATTATTTTTAAGTTTTTTTAGGAGAGGTACACACTTGCACTTCGGTTCTACCTCTTTCAGAGTTTCATAAATTGGGACGCATAACCCCGAAATTGTAAATGAAATATTTGATTTTAATATTGCCGTTGTATAAAAATACTTCATAAATAAGATTAATGTATTCATGCAGCGTTTAACGTGCATTTAGCGTAATTGATATACGGGATTTATTATTACAAATGTGTTGAGTTGTAACACAACCTGTTTTTATTTAGTAAAATATTCAGTGAAAAATAAGATTAATCTAAAAAACTGCTTCAATGAAAACAAGATGTTTCAAACCCACGTGCCA